ATTGCATAAAAGTTTGAGGAAGAATTTACAACAGTTAATAGTGAAATTTGCTTTAAAACGGCATGGCTTAATAAAAGCATAAATTCCAGAATAGAACATTCATCCAAGAAATGTAACGTCCATGTGCCATTCAAAAAAGCCACTCACATTTCAGATGAACTTGCATTAACAGAAAGAAAGCTTTCAGGTTTCATTATAAAATATCTTAATTTGTGTTTTGAAGATAACCATAATCCACCAGGATATCTATCTCCAACTCTGATCTCTAATATTACAGGGACAACCGGAGATTTAGTGACCCAGTGTTACAGACAATGCCAATAGTGGTGATGTGAGAAATATTGATGTACATACAGTCCAAAAGTTTGAGGTCAGCACTAAAAACATTGATAATAAGAAGAAATTTTATATGGATTAATTTTATGATGCTATTGTGACATTATGACTTAGTTGGTCATGGGCCAAAGTTTGATAAATAAAAGATACTTGTGCATCTACCTTAAAACATTTTTCTGTCGATCATTATCTGCACTTCATTCTACCTTCATGCAAAATGGCTACTTCATATCACAAAACCCCATATTAAAATAATTTCTTAGGCATAGCATCATTTTCACTCACACTGTCAAAAACATGAATTTAATTGTATGTGCACAATATCTGTGACAGTTCAGGGCCCTCGGGTCAATGGAGGCCTCTGGGCAGGCAGTTGGTTTTTATGTTAATTCATGCCAGCAAGACACGATTACATTTTCATGAATTTTGTTTCTCATTTTGCTGCCTAAATCAAGCAAATTAATAAAGTTAATAAATAATAAAGTCAAATTAATATCAATTTAATAAACATTAAAGCAAGTTCTAGGAGACTCTGCCAAGAAAAGGGGATTGAATAATATTCATTTGAATTTGTTATGAGATACTAAGGTGTATTATAAACGTTTAAATTGATTGTTGCATTATTACCTTGTTCTTCTGGATATTATTCATTCTGTCAATAAAAATCCCATGTTCAAAGTCAACTTGAATATCTCTGATCATTGTCACCTTGATTTATGAGCACACATCGTATGCCAGGTTTTTATTTGCTGATCTTTACAAACTATACACACTATATAAGACTCTCAGCAAGCCAGACAATTGAGATTCCGAGAGAGAAAGACATACACAGAGTTTCAGGCGGGATGGAATGAGTTATCCTCAGTCAAACAGAAAGAGACTCCTGTTGAATTAAAAGCAAAGGAATGGAGAAAACATCATAGGCAGGGATTTGAAAGGTGAGCACAGCCTTTGATAGCTGTCTGACTTCTGCTTCTGGTGTAACGCTTTTCATTCTTTCAAAGAATCCTTTTCAAAGTTGCAGCAAGCATTCTAAAGTTTGGGTCAGCATGAGTTGGTTGATAATGTTATTGGCAGCTGTCAGTAACTTAATGATACAAGATACACAGGAAACACTGGGGGGAAAAATCTCACACTCTAAAAAATGCTGGGTTAAATATAACCCAGCGCTGGGTTATATTTAACCCAGCATTTTTTAGAGTGCACATTTAAATTTAAAAAACATTAAATAATAAATATATATACATCATAAGTCATCATGCAATCCATTCACAATCTATTTGATTTCCACAGTGATGCATTTTTCAGTGAAATGGAAGAAATGTAGATTTTACCCACAGGAAGTGCTGGATCATGAAAAGTGGGTGTTTTATTCCTGAATAGAGCCAGACATGTATTTGAGTTTGCAGTTGACATCCACTTTTGCTGAGGCCTTTCGACCTGAATGTGGAGGACAAATTATTATTGCACATTCTACTGACAGGATTTTAGAAATACTGCATATCAAATAGCTTAAAACAATGATTAAATAAACCAATATCACTAGTTAAAAAATTAATAAATGCAAATAAATTTTCCTGTTCATATAGTATATTCCTTGCAAGGTCAACTTAAGCCCAAACAGAAACAATATTAATATTCTAGGTAAAAATCATAAAGATAAAATGCATGCCTATTGATACAACAGAGGGCTAAAGCTTCAATATCTGTCTGCTGGGTTTTGATTAGTTCAGAGGAACATTAACAAAATTTGAAAGTAAAATTATAGATTAATTGGGGTCTCTGGGACTCCAAATATAAAGAAAGTCAATCTCACCAGAACAGAAAGCTCAGCTTATTAAAAATGTATTTCAGTCACACATCCTTATTTCTTGCTCTTCCTAAGGCCACTCTTCTCATCCTGAACTTTTTCTTTTCTAATCCCTCTCTATCTACATCTCACTGACTCACTGCTCAGCTTCTCTCCACATGCTGTTACCCGGCCTCAGTAGCCTGGTGCTTTGGCCACTCTTCAGAAGGGTGAGCCAGTGTCGGTCAACACGGTTGCTTAATAATCTTTATCCACTCACCGGCCTGTTCCAGCCCTGCCCAGAGCGAGGAAGAGGGGCTAGACTGTGTCTGGGGGGAAGGATTTAATGCACTCTCCTCCCAGACCAACATCATCTCTCTTGGTTCAGACCTTGAACTTTGCCGCTTCCCCAGCTGAGACCCTCATGATCCTATGTGCATCAAGATCATAGTCGCATCTTTAAATGACCTGATCGCCTGGTTTATGACACACGCTCAGTAATCCTCTGACACACGCTCTAGTCATCTTTTCCCCATCAGCTCCATTTAGCCTTCACTGGCTGATGAGGCATATTATAGACAAGGGTTCTCCATAATGTGACATTTGTATCCATAAATGTTTCTTGGCCTTTGTAGTGGGGCTCTTTCTGGGTCAGCATGTCCTTGATAGGTTCAGAAAGACTGTAATGGGACATAAAGCTGGACTGCATATGACCAAAATTAATTTGAAAATTTTAAGGATAGTTCTTTGGTAATCCAAGAATCTCGTTTACCATCTAGTGCCCTCATGGCCGTGGGAACTAGGGGTGCTGAAGCATCCCCCGCCGCACATTTGCCCCTCGATCGTCCCCAAGATACTTAATTTTTGTGATAGTTTTGTGATTAATTATTTATTAAACTGACCAGAAATATAGCCTAGTGCGGTTGTATTTTACTTGCGCGACTTGCGGCGCGCGTCCCTACTTCTCCCCTCACACTCGCAGAATTTCATGTGAAATGTTCACGCGATATTACCGTAATTTTACATTCCATCCGACTTGTAAAAACCATTCAAGTCCTCGTCCTTTTTATGAGCCATTTTCTCGCTTCTCAAGACGGCCCCCGTCAATCACATAAGCACAGCTCTTTAATTGCGTTCTATAGTCTCTGGTCAAACGCGCTCAAACCACTGTAGCCTAATGTAACTACGCACATCATAACGTTTTAGGCAAGTAGGCTACCATATTATGACAAAAATATTTCAATAAGACTGAATTTGTATTTAACCTGATCACGTTTAATAAAAAGATATTTTAAGTTTAATTATAACGCCGCATGTCCTCCTCGATTATTCAAACGAACAAATTATACAGTGAGCAAAGTACATTTACATTATCAAAGAATATCACTGAATTCAGTCTAGACGTGGTGTAATCCCACGGCTATGAGTGCCCTTGTTGCTTTATGAACAGAAGTGATTGAGTGTTCATCCACTGCCATCTTGTGGTTGGTTTTGAATCCTGCATCACATTTTAGCGAAAATGTTCATCTGTACTGTAGTTATTCATCCTCACGTCGAACCTGCATGACTTACTGTAGAAAACAAAAGGAAATGTTCTTCTGACCAATGTTCTCGCTGCTCTTTATATGGTACGATCATCCTAACGAACAGCAGTGTATGCCTATATATATATATATATATATATACAGTGCTGTTCAAAAGTTTGGGATCAGTATTTTTAATGTTTTTGAAAGAAGTCTCTTCTGTTCATCAAGGTGGCATTTATTTGACCAAAAATACAGAAAAAACAGAAATATTGAAAAATATTATTTCCATTTAAAATAACTGTTTACTATTTTAATATACTTTAAAATATAATTTATTTCTGTGATGCAAAGCTGATTTTTCATCATAATTACTCCAGTCTTCAGTGTCACTGATGATGATTTATTATCAATGTTGGAAACAGTTGTGTTGCTTAACATTTTTTTGGAACCTGCGATACTTTTTTTCAGGATTACTTGTTGAATAAAGTTAAAAAAGAACAGTATTTATTTAAAATAGAAATCTTTTATAACAATATAAATCTTGATTTAAAACATCCTTGCTTAATAAAAGCATTCATTTCTTTCATTGTCACAAAAGATTTCTATTTTGAATAAATGCTGTTCTTTTTAACTTTTTATTCATCAAAGAATCCTGAAAAACTATCAAAGGTTCCAAAAAAAATATTAAGCAGCACAACTGTTTCCAAAATTGATAATAAATATTAGAATGATTTCTGAAGGATCATGTGACACTGAAGACTGGAGTAGGCCTAATGATGCTGAAAATTCAGCTTTGCAGAAAAAAACTTCTTTAAAACACATTACAAATCTTACTGATTCAAAACTTTTGAAAGGCAGTGTATATATTCATGATAATTGCATTATGAAAAGCTATTATTTTAAAATTAAATATATGTCTAGATGGAACACTTCTTAGATGCAGTGAAAAGGTCAGTTAACAAAGTCTTTGAAGTTTGTTTGGACATTAATCAGCAATCAGAAATCAGAATCAGAAACACAATTAGTTTTGAAAATGACTTGCTAAAACAGTACCAAAGCAATAATAAAAGGAAAAAAAGAAACTATGGATCTAATGGAATCTGTAAGAGCAGTGAAAGGGTTAAAGTAGGACACACACGATCATGTTTCACTGTATTATTATTGTATTGCACATAAGGAATATAAGATAGTATGTGATTTAAATCTGTCATCTGCTCCCGTGAATTCCAATTGGTAAATTCCACTAGACTAACTAAATCTCCCATTTCTCCTTTATGAATCTTTAAGCAGGAAGGTGGCGGTGAACTTCGTTTCCCAGAGTGCATCGCGCTGACAGCTTCTTCCTCGCGACAAAAATGGCGGCGCCATTAACCCTCCTGCTTATAGTGGCTGTTACAATAAGAGCCGTATTATTCCGATCCAGTCTGGCGGAATTAATTGTAGAGAGGGTCGAGGTGGTGTCGCCTTTGAATGCGTGGAAACGAGGTATGTTAATGTATTTTTTTCTATATGGGAATGCTGTATACTGATGGTATGTTCTTGCATGGCAGCATTGCTGAGCTGTCAAATGAAGACATTTTCAACACATCATGTTTTCATGCTTTATTTTTAAGTCAATTATTGTTGGTAACATTATTGTTTACTCATATATCTGATCCCAAATATACAGCATCAATGGAATACGCAGATTTGAACTCCACAGCCTGTCGTGGCACCCAGCTTAATATCTATTTACAGTATGTCTTGTATTGAATTGATTGCATTACTGCAGCTTGCTCCTAAGTTTGATTTTACATCAAATCCGTGTTGCAGCCATCATCCAATATCCATCATCCATGTTATATTTAAACAGTCTGGCAAATATTGATAAACATTGAAGTGATGTGTTTGGGCGTTGTTTCAAAAGAAAACGCTTACAGACCTGTTATCACTATCGTTCACTTCACTGCCTTGAATACAATTACTTATGTATTTGATGGTCATGTAAGGGTGAAATATCTTCAAGTTCTTTGCTTATTAACTGCATAATATGACTTTAAACAGTTGTAGAGGGTCTTGCCTTGTTGGATCTGGGGGTCTCGCCTTACTCAGGAGATGTGTTTCATGAAGTAAGTTCTATTTGACTTTGTGTTTGATTCATTTTCTTTTCAAGTCTATACTCGGATGTCAGTGTTTAATTGTTCTTTTTATTTCTTCCAGACACCCCTTATGATATACCTCTTTCATTTTATGGTCGACTATGCAGAGATTGTTTTTATGGTAAGTCCTGATTTAGTTTTTTGTCTTTCCTGTTTTCTTACATCGTTGTACCTTGCAGAAATGGCAATTCCAAATCTGATTTACTATGCAATTTTCCAGGTTGCTGTGAATTAAGATCATAGTTCATACACTGTAAAAAATTACCGTGAATTAAACGGTAAAAGACTGTAAAAATGCTACAGTAAAAACCTGTTAAATGGTTAACGGTAAATTCCCCTATTATATACGGTGGCTACATTACATGTAATTTTATGGTAGTATACCGTTTTTGGAAAAGACCGTATAATTTACAGTGAATAACTGTAAATTGACATTCCCAGAATTCCCTGCGTTACATTTCAAATTTGATGTTTTTCTGTTGAAATAACTATGTTTCTTCTTAGTTTTTTCTTATCAGTTTTGTATATTAGGGTTGTGTGT